ATGGATGGATGGATGGATGGATGGATGGATGGATGGATGGATGGATGGATGGATGGATGATAGATTATGGATGGATGAATGGATGGATGATCGATGTCAATAGATGGATGATAAATGGATGGATGGATGGATGGATGGATGGATGGATGGATGGATGGATGGATGGATGGATGGATGGATGGATATATTTTAGACAATGTGAAAGCTGTATTTTTCATACATTATTTTCTTTATCCATGTTTTATCAGATTTAATAACATGTATGACCAGACTAAGCAATGACCCTGGTTTTTATTATGTTGTAGAAACTAGGGTTGAATTTAAACCCAAAGTGTTTTTATGAACAGATTTACCAAAATACTGATAAAAGTTATCAGTAAAGCAGAAAGAGGACGGATGCAGAAGGTTGGTTGGCTGTGCCTTGGGACATCTAACGTACCTGTGATGTTGATAGGAACCACATCTGTGGGCACAGCCTGAGCCACCTGCCTCATCTTCTCCTCCGGGGTGGGAAGGGGAGCGGCCTTGTTCCATACCACCCGTCCGTCTGCTTCAGACGCCTCCCCTGTCTCGCTACCTGCTTGCGGCGTCGGAGATCTCATGGAGAGCTGAGATTTGTCATCCTCCACTGATGACGCTGTCGACTGCAGGAGGACAGCAGAGTAAATGTTTAATGTTGTGGAAAATACAAAGCTTGAAAGAAGCAGTGAGGAGAGGCAGCAATCAGAAGGACAAAAAACAAGAGTAGAAGAGTCTGAGCATTAAAAACTCGTGAGAGTTTTCCTAATGCATCAATTGGAGATTCTTCATGGATTGACCTTTAAATGTTTCTAGAGCCCTAAACATGTTTTACGATCAGTCAGATCCAAATGGAAACTGTTGATTGAACTGACCAAACATCTGAAGATGGCACGATAAAAGCTGCAGAGCAGCCAGGAGAGAGACAAAAGCATTCAAGCAGTAAACTGAGCTGACACACTAAGAGTCCTCAATCGTGAAAATGAAGAGTGGAGCAGACAGCCACGTTAAATTGAGCCATTAGTCTCCAGTAAAAGAGACATTTTAACAACTTTGTGTTTTCATCTGAGGGAAAATGCTGCAAAAAATTACTGGTTTCCACTAAAGAGCTGATTGTTTGCAATCGCAACTCACTGAGGTTTTGTACTACACACTGACGAACTCTTAAAGCAAAGCTCATATCTACAGATGTCTTTCTTTGCAGGTCAAACTGACCCGTAGGACCATAGATTAGACCCAAGCTAACTATGCAGGTGGAAGCCTGGTAGTTCAAACCATGCTTTGTCTCTTTTTTACTGGCTATTCTCTAAATCTTTAAAATTAAATAAAAAATGTCCTTATCAGTCAAAACTGGTTTGTATATTCAGAAAGCATTAGGATGATTATTACTTCATTTCTAACTTTGTATTTATCATTAGAGTTTCAAGCCAATCACGGATCTTTAAAAAGCCTGAACTGTCAGATTTTGGCCGCTCTTAAATTTTCTCTTTATATCTGACAATGTAAAGCATCATAAGGTCACCTACAAACTTTAATGTTTCAATTGACATTAAAACACGCCTGTAAACATAGGACAACTCTACTCATCTGCATAAAGTAGAGCTCTTAATCCAAACAGAAAGTTTGGAGCTTTGGTAATGGCTGATTTTGAGATGTTTTTTGAAGGTAAATAAGATCGGTGGATAAGCTTGGTTTCACGAGTAGGTAGATTGGGCTAGCTGATCGATCAGTGCTCCCATATTTATTGTTGATTGTGGCAAACTTTTGTGAAAGCAGAGTATGAATTATCTATGTTTTTTGATGAGTGGGATAACAGGATGATGAATGTAGTCTAAAGCGAAGGTCTTAAACAGGGGGTCCGCGACCCCTAGGGGGTCCTTGGAGGTACTGAAAGGGGGTCGCGAAAGTTTTGGCTGATTAGACTTTTTTTTTTATATTCCCCCCTGCAAATTTTTCCACTGATTGAAATGTATTTAAATCCACATTAAGATGAATTCAACACACTGTAGTAAACAGATAAATAAGGCAGAAGATGTCCTTCAGTCATCAATGCACACATTCAGCGATACACAGGAGCTCTTTCAAGCTGGACACCGTTTTATGCACAACACCTGTCCCATCAACCAGGAATCAGAATCAGAAATACTTTAATAATCCCAGGGCAAAATTACTTTCGTTAAATTAATCCATCTGTAATAGAGTGACTATAGGGCCAGTTTAATATAACACAATTTCGTACTATAGATAATTAGGGGTCCCCGCTCCATCTTGCCATCAGTTTGGGGGTCCTTGGCCTGGCAAACGTTAAAGACCCCTGGTCTAAAGCAAAAATTCACCCTTGATGCTATAGGAGTTTGTCTGCTCGGGTTTTAAAAGTCTGTGCCCGACTAGTTAACCCCTTCCTCCCTTTACTAGTCTATAAAAGGCAGTTTGGCTGCAAGAAGTTTGGCTGTGTTTAATATTTTATTTTGTGAGATGTTTGGGTAAAAGTATCTAGTATTGTTTTCACCCTCCACCATGATCAGCTTAACTAACTCAGCTCAGGTTTTGGAGCTCCTTCCATCCTCAGAGCGAAAAATTTAACCATCTAAGCTAAATAAGTAAGAGTTTCAATAACAGTAACTCTGACTTTAAAAAAGGTGTTTTCTATTTTTTTATCGTGTGTCTGGTTGCTGATAGTTTGGACATTACCAGTCTAAGACTATTTTTGCGCTTTAGTTAAAGCTCAGAATCTGGCTATAAGCTCCTATTAAATTCTTAGGAATTTGTGTCGGTTCCCAGATTTCTATCATTTCGTCTAATAAGCAGTGTGTAGAATCAGACTTTGTTTTATTTCCCATCTTAATTTAACCAACAATGGGTAGATCATTCTAGATATAATGATAATATTCTTTTACATGATTTAAAGTCTGTTTGTTTATGGAAAATGATATTATTTAATGGACTTTTAACTTCCCTACCTCCCAACTTCTTACAGAGGATACATTTCTGTATTATCCTTTATTTACAGCGTTGGGCTGGTTGAAAAGAAATGAAAAGGGACATTTTAAAAGGAAAAATTGAGCAAACAAGAGATTAGAAGCAAAGCAAAATAAGGGCAATTTTAGGCAAAAAAGAGCAAGCAGAAAGAAGCATGGATTGTTCTCTACATTTTCTTCAGGTTAAACATGAAGCCAGTTTCCTGTTCTTAAAGAGGCTGTCAAACAGAGTTAGGATCAGGACAACAAGAAGTGACGGCAGAACGAAGGACATGAGGACAAAGACAACAGAGTGGGTAAGGCTGCATCTGGTCTAACAGGATGTAGGTTAGTGGACAGAGATGGAAATAATGAGAGGAAGGTCAGAAAAGTTAAAATAAAGCTGCATAACATGGATAAAACTTTTAAGTCTATACTATGGTCAGACAGTTCCTAGGAATAGAAGTGTGTAAAAAAAAAAAAAGAGACACTTTTTGTGGAGAAGGGGCTTTGTTTATAAAACTTGTAAAAGACTGCGTGCAAATGGATGGAAACATAAAATATTTAGACTTAAAGACAGGGAAAACAAACTATTTGACCTCATTTGGGTTTTCCTTTTCCACATCTATCAAGTACTCCAACTTACCATTGTCAAAACAAAACTTTGTTTGCCAGAAATATGAAATATTTAACAATTCACTCAATTCAACTTCCTTTTATCTGGTCCATAACATATGGTTTCAAACAAAAAAGCACAAATAAATAACATCTTTTTTCATTAGCTCAATTTCCTATTTCAGTTTTGTCCAATTTTATTATCTCTCCATAGACCTATCATAACAACTAAGAATAAAAGGTACACTACTCTAAAGTCTGTGTAAAAAAGAAAGAAAAAGAAAACAGAACTATGGCTAAATTAAATAAAAAGAACATTGATTTATCACTAAAATGTTGAAGTTTTAGACGACTCTCCTTTAAAAATGTCAAACAGATTACAGCAGGAATGAAGCTGCATGAAAACATGTCACATTTCCCTCTCTAACCACTAGAGGGCAGACTTAGATTGAGTAATACCAGGTTCTTAGGGGCTGCTGCCCAGCATGATCTACTGGTTTCCTAAACTAGATGGTTATGAGGCTTCTACAGCACTTCATGGCATTATCAACCAAAGAGTTTTACAGCAAGGATCCAGGATTAAAAGTGGACCACAAAGCCCAGTGTTGGAAATCACATTATACCATATTGTTAAATGACTAACTTTATTAATGTGTAACAAACATTTTCTCCACGTTACCCTGCAAATCCATGTTTTTAAATGCCTACCTTTCTGTCATCTTCATCATCCTCTTCATCCTGTAGGCTGGCCTGTTTAGGGTCAGAGAAGGTGGGACCCTGAGAGTAGTACTGGGAGCTCCGGAAACCATCTTTCCTCAACTTATCACATTCTGGAATAAAAAGGAAAAACAAAGAGTTGGTTATTGTAAAACCAGATAGAAAAACCACTAAGTAGAAGCTGACTGTTTTAAGTCATATTTATGTCCGAATTATCTCTATATCTCAGTGAAATTGCTTCTACAACAGGAATACACAAACCTCAGTGAGCTTTTTACTCCACTAATTGTTTTTATTTAACTGAAATAAACAATAAAAACCTGTTAAATCAAGCCATTAAGTCTTTTTAATTATACTTGCTGAAATGAAACCTGCTGAATTAGTTTTAGATCTAGCAGTAGATATAAAGCCAGTGTCACTTATCAAAATAAAGTCAATACAAAAATGAACCCCTCTGAACTGAATTTAGCTCCTTTTAATCCAAAGCAGGAGATTCCAAGGATTGTGAACCTTTTTCTATCAATTTTTTTCCTTCCTCTTAATTTTCCATGAACATTTTTCCAATAGAAACCCTTTGATCTTTTGGATCTTCTTACTCTAGTTGGATGCAAACTGTCTGCTTTGCTCCTGTCAAATCTGCAGCCTTCTTTACAATTCTGTAGTCATTATCTAAAATTTCAGAACTGAAATGATCTTGATTGGCCTCATGCTAATTTTTGTGTATTCTGTGCAACTAAATTTACTTTTTCCATTAGTTGTAACCTCTTACAATTTAAATCCATTGGCTGAACTCTATCGCTACCATGAACTTAGTTGTTCAGTTCATTTTTATTTGCCCATAGTGGAAAATGCTGTAAAATGTGCTGTTTTTGTACGTCTGACGGCCATGTGATCATGATCCCCTTTTGGACTAGGCTAAGCGCTGCTTCTGTCTTCATGTCACCACCTGCTGTCATAATGTGTGTGTTTCAGAGTGCGTCTGTGTTCGCCAAACTTTGATATAAAGAAACGAGTATGTGTTTATGTGGAACCAGAGGAGGTGGTATCAGTTTCAGTCTGTCACACACAGATGGTGGAACCATCCCCTCCTACCTCCTGTTCCCTCAGGGGAGCGCAAAGCACATTGTTGCTCTGTTTAATACTGTATTCACTCATTTCTGTTTTATTTTACAACCTTTTAATCTTAAATATCATACATCTTAGACTTTCAAAATATAAGAATCTAAAAGTTAAGTATCTTAAAAACTGGGATGAACCTTTATCTAATGGTGCATTTACAAATATCTGCCTGATTTTTTTTCTTTCTTTTTAAAGATTATCTAAATAATGCAAATATAAAAACCTTTACACGGTTTATGTAGCTGTTTTTTGAAACATGTATAAAAGCTCTAGATAAATTTTGAATGCAAATCAGAGTACATCCACTTTGCCATTAGCTTGTCACCTCAAAGATCCTCCTTTTGATCCTGTTAATGTGTTTAATTCATTCTCGCTCAATTACAGCGTGTCCCTATGAAGAGACACACCGATGCATGTATAATACTGCCAGCTAATGGAGCCCGATGGGGCTGACACATGCAGCTAATGCAAGAACAGGCAGATGAGGTGCCAGTCAGTTAGATGGGAATTAGGAGGCATGATGGTAATTAGTAGGGTGACAGTGAGACTGTGGTGGGGCATGAATTTAGATGACGGATTAAGATAAGGGTTTCTTGTTGCTAGGTAGAACTGAACAGAAACCAAAACAGCAAATTAAGTTTAAGTACTACTTTAACGCTTTCGATATAAGAAACATTTCAATAAGCATTTATAGCTAAAACAGTACTTCATTACATTGTTTTTCCTTTTTTTTATAAATATATCAAATAAGGCAAATGTATGTTTCCAAAAAACAATTTAAAAAAACTATATTAAGCTGAAAATTGCATTACATTGTATTGCAATGGAATAATTGGGATCAATAAATGAATGTAATTTAACTGAATTCAGAGGTTGATTGACTTTTTTCTTTTCAGACTGGAAATGTGTTATACTCTACTTTGAAATGAAAACTGATTGATCTTGGAGGCAATGAATAGGATAGATTTATATAATCACCCTAAAATACTAATGAGGAACTGGAAGCACATTGACTTTTTTCCAACTGGCTGGCATACTTCCTGAAACTCATCTTCTGGGAAGGTCTCCTATGGGTGTCAAAGGGGCACAGTGAGGCTGAGAAACTGGGTGAGTATTGATTGTTTAAAAAAGCGGAGCAGAATTCAGGGTCATGTATCTATACCAATGCAATAATGCTGTTTGTGTCTGCATATAAGTGGAACAAAGTCTCTCTCACCCCTCAGTTACTGTAAACCCTAATTCGTACAGTAATTTCATCTGGGTCGCATTACAAATAAAAGCTGTGATCCATCAGGACTGCAGAGAGATACCACAGACGAAAGGTCGCATTACGGAAAAATGTAATAGTTTTTGTGCAGCAGCAGATTGCTGGGGATTAGGGATGACTTTTACAGTTCATGCTGGCGTAAAATTACGTATTACGGTAGTTTACTTCTATTAAGATTTAAATGCTAAAATCTCACCTTTCAATTCATTACATTTTTCATTTTGAAGGTTTGTATTAGAAACTGAAAGAATTGTTGCTGAACCTTTAATACACTCTGAATCATGAGGAATACAAACATGTTGTTTTGCTTCAGTCTGACAGAGAAAAATGGAAATTATCAAGTCTTCAGATTCCTTTCAAAACCCAAGACTCCTTGAATTAAGAGCATTTGTATATTGTAACATTGCCTGTTACTCTGATCTTATTTCTTTATACTTATCTTAATAAATCCCTAATAATAAGCAACATGAATCTATTAATCTGAGCTAGTGTTGGTGAATAATTATCATTTATCTTGTTTCTATATTTGTATATATGATTTATGTTTGTGCTGTATAACATCTTCAATGTGTGCTACAGCTTTTCTGCCCAGGACCCCATTGCAGTATCTCAGTGGATTTTATTGTAGTAATGTAAAATAAATAAAATCAGGTGAACAATGAGAAAATTACAAATTAGTGGAGCTGTGCTTTTGTCATTTATGTCCAGACAAATATTTGTATTGATAGCATTGTTAAATTTCCATGCATACCAACTCTGGGTTCGTGTTTTAGAGGCTTTCATGTATTCACTGTCTGTACTTTAATTGCACAAAAACATACTATTATTTCTGATCCCCATATGCCAATAGACTCTTTTGATAAGCGAGAAATTATGCACACTAATCAGACCTATTTTTTGAATCACAATTTGTAATAATAAACTATAAAATAGATTACAGGAAACTATTTTACCACTTCTGCTATTAAAGATGGGGACATAAAGATTGATGGAGTGTATGAAAGAGATGCAATGTCTATGGTATTTAACAACCAATGTACAAAACCGTAAAGGAGAAAAAGGTGATCACTACAGAACATGCAAAAGGTGTTATTTTGCTACAAGAAAAATGACAAAAACAAAACATTATGAGGCTGTAACTGATATGTGAGGATCATTAAAGGATCCTGGACCTCCTGGAGGAGGACAGGTGCTGTCACTGGCAACTGTTGGCTGCCACTTAGGAAACCTGGGAGATGGGACGCTTTTGGGACAAAGGGCTGGTTAAATTAATCACAGCAGCTATAAGTGATTTTGCGTGGATTTCTTTTTAGTAGCATCAATATTTCAGGAGGTAATATCTATTAGTAACCTTACAAGGGTCAGATTGTAGTGTCTATAAGACGGCAACTCGCTAACATAAAGCATCATGTTAAAACAGCCTGGTCCCCATTTGCCCCTTTCTCCCACCATTAACTTCGACCCACAAGGCCATCCAGGAGTATAAACTTCCTGCTCTTACAGTTGCTAGGAGTCTGATACCCACACCTGCATGTATTTGATCCGCTTCTCACACGTTTATCTGAGCAATGAGCCGATAAGAAGGCTTGTGCAGAAACTCTCAGCAAAACCAGTCCAGGTATTCACTGGAATTCCCGCTTCCTTTCCTGGGAAAGTGATAATTTTACATACAAAGTTGTGTCTGTGCAGAAATTTGACTCCATGTGTTTGCTGAGCAACGAAGGTGTGGCTTGTTGACCAAAAGGAAAAGGAAGGATCTCACACTCTTTGTGTTGTTGGATAAACACTGGATGACGTGTTTGGACATTTTTTTTACTGTTTTTCACTGAGTCGCAAATAAATACCGGGTCATTTTACCTGAAAACAATGAGAAATGTTGACCTCGGCCGAACGTCTAAATTACCGTTAATATAAGATTAGCTTTAACCGGCAGGAAGTCAAGGTTCCACTGAAAACCTGCCCAATTGAGGGTTGAAATATCCATTTCTTTTGTATTTTAATGGCCTTTTTGGACAAAAATACCATTAAAGCAGGGAATCAAACCACTTTGATTTAAAAATAAGCCTATTTTACTAATTGACTCAATATAAATCGTCTTGAGTTAAATTAGATTCACTCATTGGCACATCCTTTTTACAAATGAGATTCTAGAGAGTCAAGAGTAAGCAGGATTTTGACAAATACTAGTTGATTTTAATTAGCTTCAATTGGATTTTATGACTCACATGCCTTAAGGCAATGCAAGGCAAGGCAAGGCAAATATATTTGTGTAGCACAATTCAGTACAAAGACAATGCAAAGTGCTTTACATGATTAAAATATAGGAAAAATAAAACAGAATCAAAGCAAGTAGGAAAAAAATAAATAAATAAAATAAAATAAACAAAAAAGAACTTTAAAAACATTTGGACTAAAGAAAATAAAAAAGTTGAACTAATGATGTTTTAGTTGAACTGTTTAACTAGAACAGTCGAAGGCAATCCTAAACAAATGTGTTTTTAGTCTTGATTTAAAGGAACTCAGGCTTTCTGCACTTTTACAGTTTTCTGGAAGTTTGTTCCAGATAAGTGGAGCATAGGAACTAAATGCTGCTTCTCTATGTTTAGTTCTGGTTCTAGGTATGCAGAGCAGGCTGGAGCCAGAAGACCTGAGTGGTCTGGAGGGTTGATACACTGATAGCAAGTCTGTGATGTATTTAGGTGCTAAGCCATTCAGAGATTTATAGACTAACAGAAGTATTTTAAAGTCTATTCTTTGAGATAGAGGGAGTCTTAGTGAGGACACGGGCAGCGGCATTCTGGATCAGCTTTAGCTGTATTAGTGTTGATAGTATAAGAAAATATTAGGGGGGGAACATAAACTAAAACAGAAGAACAAACTACTGTATTTTACGGACTATAAGTCACAGCGGAGGATAAGTTGGACCAGGCATGATATCCATTATAAAGAGAAATAATCCATAAATAAGTCAAACCAGGCTATAGGTCGAAGGAATATAGGTATGCAAACTTTCCAGGAAAGGTTCAGATAACACGGTGATGTCTAAAGGAAGATATGGCGCCATCTTAATTAAAAAACATTATTTTAAGGGTAAACATGAATGTGGTTCTGCAATAGATCTGATTAATCACAACAACCTTGTAACTCAAGGTGTCAACAATGCGAATGTTATTTATTTTATTATGATCTCTGGTTGATCATGACCAGCGTGACCTATAGGGAGGCCGCCACACTACAATGCCAATGATGCATTGCATTTCTGTTTCCGGTGGCCTTTTTTAAACACAGAGGAACAATGTCACGTAAAATTGTTTTATTATGGTAGATTAATTGAAAATCTATCAGTATATTTTCAATTTAAAATTGGTTCTGGAGTATTAATCGCACCCCTGACCAAAACGTATTAAAAAAGTGTGCCAAAAGCCAGTTGGAAAACGCAAAAGTTTGATTTTTGTAAAATTTGTGAATTCATCTTAGCAGAACAATGACGATATTGCTCTTCAGTGTGCAGGTTGTTACTAAGGGAAATTAACTCCATGTTAGCATGGTGATTAAAGTGCTTTTTTATGACACTTCAAAACATTTCTGCAGTTTATTGAGGTTGCAAGAGAGCGAGAGAGAGCAAGACTCTCAGCAGACAACAAGAAGGCTGAACAGAGTGAAGAAGACCTTTAAACATCTGCTGCTCCTGGATAAAACACCCTTTTAAAATCAGATAAGGGTGTTTTATTTATTCTTTTGGTAATGCTAACAGTGTTAACTGGCAAAAAAAAAAATACCACAACAAATGTAAGGCCAAAGAAACGTCTAAGAGAGCATTTTTTGAGGCACTCAATTTAGGTTTTTACCTCGCAAAGCAGTTTTGAGGTTGACTTTTGCCTGCCGGTGGAGGTCCTCTACACAGGGCGGCCTGCTGCCTGGGAGGAAGACGTTCTCTTGTTGATGCCAGGGAGCTGTATAGTGGACTGTCCATTTGCTCTCCTCATCCAGGTTAGACACAGCTGCAGAGACAATGAACCATAAAGAATTAGCCTTGTTGAACTAAAAGTTATCTCTTTGGTTTTATTGGTCTAAACATCAAGACCTGTAAAGGATTGGGGGTAGGGGATATGATATATAGAGAAATTGTAAGGGTTTTTAAGATAAGATAAGAAAAATTCACTTGTCACATTGGTTCAATGGGGTGCATCCACATTATACAACGGATCGAGAGAAAAAAATAAATAAGGCAGAGCTTTAAGGTGACTAATACACATATGGATTTGGTGTTGTACATTAAAGTGGTAACAGGTAAAGAACAACAGTGAGGTGATGAGATAACTATAACAGCTGAAGTCTCTTATTTAACAGGATTATTGCACAGGGTATTAAACAGTACTTGCTCATTAAGATAAGATAGGCTTTATTGATCTTACAGTGGAGAAATTCACTAGTCATATCGGCTCAATAGTCATTTTTTTTACTAAATAATTTTTACATTATTATTTACAAAATGTAGGCACATTTCTACATTATGTAGGGCCAAAATTCCTGACTCATGAATGAAATCATGACTCAGAAAATGACCATAACACCTAGCCTGGTGTTATGGTCATGATTGGTCATATTTCATAACAGTAAATTGGCCCAAATAGAAAAAGAAATAAAGAAGTCTTCATACAACAACATAGATCTAATCATTTAATGATTATTGGTCTCCACAGTTTAGAAAAATATTGAATAGCCACCAGAAGTAAAATAAGGTCCTTACTTTACTCGGGTTCAAAGTGTTTGGTTCCTAATAAGAAATGGGAAAGATGAAATGACTAAGTGTGCGTTTGAAAGGGGGGGGGGTCTGAAACGGTACTGACAACGTTATCTAGAGCCCTTATAAAGTGGTAAACTCCAAGGGTTTGTTTACATGTGGCTGAAGGAAAGAAAGGGAAGAGGAAATTGAGGGTTTTCTCCAACAAAGGTGCCAGACTCCACACTACCAATACAACGCTTATTTGAGACGTCGCAAAGAAGTTTCACAAGTCAGAGGAGAGGGAAAATAAATTACCATGTAAAACCCAAACAACTATAACCTCTTTAAAACCTGAAATAATCCTTTAAGAAACACAATATGTGGCACACATTATACCGTTTCTAATTGAAAGAATCTAATGAGAAATTGCTTTAAGTACAGGTTGCTGAGATTGAGGTATACACCCTCTGGATGAGTTTAAAACTTAGTCTTAATGCCTTTTATCAGATAAAAGTAGCTTCACACCATTGCTATCAAGGTATTTCTACTTTATCTGTGGATCAGTTTCCATCTGCAGCCACGTTTTCCTCACTTAATGTGTGAAAATCTGAGTCAGACTATTTAGAGCTTACCGAGGGAGCGCAGCCAGGCCAACGTTGGTGACCGTGGATGTAGAATTATCTCCATTTAGAGAACCATCTGTTTCTCTTTCATGACCAACACTACTCTGAAGAAATCAGCACAAGTCCCAACCAGAGTAGGGTGAAGGGGGACGGATCATGGCAGTGGATCTAGGTGTGGGGAGTGCTTTTTTTTTTTTTCTCTTCTTTTTTTTGTCCCCTTCACAGGTGCAAATGAGCCAGGAGAGGAGCACTGCATGCGTGTCGGGGGAGGATGGAGGCACCACTGGGTAAGGGAGGGGGGGAGCAGGCTGCAAATGGCTCATTAAAAAACACATAGCTGCTTTGATATACAGTTAAATTTCTAAATGTCTCAACAGTGACCATTACAAAGGTTCTTGCGTGTGTTTGCACCTTTACATTAGAGGCTATTATTAGTGATTTTCAAGTCTTTTTATATTAGTGAAAAGTCTTTTAAATTCGGCACCTAAATGGCTCCACAGCTCATTCATAAACGATCAACCATTCGCAGCTTAAAAGCTGAGAAGAAGGTGGATTGTTTTTATTCATGTTCTCTTTTCTTTCTTGTTTTTTTGTTCCTCTATTTTCTGCTGTATGTTTGTTGTTACATGCAGAGTCCCGCTAAATTACAAATGGCAAAAAAAGGAAAGAGTCAACATGCTTTAAGTACAATAATCGCACAAGTGAGCTTTAAACCATAAACATTCAAGGATGTAGCAGCACATGCATGGAAAAAGCCCAAGAGAATCCTATTCAGAATAGATTTATGCACCATTATTAGTTTTAGAAGGGTACAAAACTAAATTTATCCCAGAAAAAGGCCAAGGCAAGGTGGCTTTACTTTTTCTATTTAACCAGTACAATTAAGATGTAATGAGCTGAGAGAGTGTTAAATAAAAGACAGTGCTCGTGAGTATTACTCTTCTTTTTATATATTTACTTGAACATTTCTTTCATATTTCTAATCCAAAGAAGTATTTAGTGATCTTCTCATTAGTTTATAAACTTAACAGCCCTAACTTCAGAACCTTTAGCACACCTGTGTCCATTTCAGTCTCATTGTCTGAGACGAACACAAGTGGAGAAAAAATCTTGAAACTTTTAAACATTTGATGATGGAATATATCGACCACTGATAACCAACACAAACTTTACGAGGTATCAGTAAAGTATGATTTCAAATGTGAAAATGGGACCTATTCCTATTACAGCTTAGGAAAATGCAGCTTCCACATCAAATAGAAACTCAATTTGTGTTCTTGGTATGCTTAAAGAGAGTAAAACTTGACATCCAGCCCTTTAGGTGGCAGAAATATGCTGTAAATGGATTTGCAGAAAATAGGAGAGAGTCTCTTGGGAGCTAGAAAGTCCTGCAACAATAGATTCTGAGCAAGACAGCATTTAAGGCCATGAATACAATGAAACCCTGAAGCAAAACCCAAAGCCATCATGAATGCTATTAGTGCAAAGTAAAACCAATATAAAATCATAATCTCAATTTTGGTTCAAACTCTTTTGATTTTTGGTAAATTTGTTCAGCTTTAAAGTTGTAGGGAAATCATATTTAAATTTCAAATCATTCTGGCTTAAACATGTATATAACTGTACTTTTTATCAGACCACATTGTCCCAAAACTTATAAAATTTATATTTTAAAAAAAAAATCCTGTCTTAAAATCTGTTTTCTTATTATTTTATGCAGGTCAGTTAGTTATACGTCAGCTTGTACACCTAAATTCGGCCAATCATATATCAAGGGTCATCTGTCAATCAAATCTTTTCGGTTATAGCATCTTGATTCATACGTCGCAGCTAATATACGCAATGGTTGAAATAAGAAGAATTTATTTTACTATTGAGTTCCGTCCCAGTGTTCACGGGGATGGACGTCTGTGTCTTCGGCAGGCGTAGAGCTAACAGAACTGGCAGCGTTGCGAGGCAAGGACTCAAACATGCACGGCTGTAAGCCTTCTAGACCAAACCAAGCTTCTGCCGCCCTGGCGTCCTCTTCCACAACAACTTTTGCTCCGCTTTCCTCCTCTAAATAAAAAATGTATGATGGAGGAAAATATCAGCGACCCCTGACACAAAACTCTCCTCCTCTTGCATGTTTCCACTGTCCATAGTGTTCCTTGACAGTGTCGTTGCTAAGCGCTACTTGGTTCCAATCTAATTTCCCATTAGGAACCTACTAGCACTAAGTGGCTAACTGGTTAGCAAGATACTTCCGAGACACAGGCCACAACCAAACTTACTTGTGAACCTTCTGCCACAACGATCCCGCCCCCTTGATAATCGACCAATCACATTCACTTTATTCACTTGTGTAAAGTCGTGCACCACTCGGGAGAATTCGGAACTGCAACCCTTGGAACAGCCGCTTCCCTACAGCTTTAATGACCAGCCATTAACAAATAGTGATGCATGATAATCATGCTAACCACCAATTTAAAATGGTAAAGACATTAGTAAATGTCAACACAGCATATGATGTCACCGTTGCTTCTGGTGTTCTGTTTAATCATGCACAAAATAAATGCAAAAAAAAAAAAAAAAAAGCTTGTTGTCACAGTTATGGAATAAAATTGAGGAAAAAGTCAGATTAGAACAGATAAACAACAGAGAAATTACCCACAGCACTCTAATCTGAAGCTCATGAGACATGTAAATAATCTACAAAATGTGGTAGTTTACATGACTCTAAAATAATGCTGGCAAATCTTGCATCAGATCTTCCATCTTTCATCGGTAACATGAGGATTCTAAAGGCGAGTAACTCTTCAAAGATTTCACATTATCCATTTTTTCTGTCCCTCTCTCACACCCAGTCAGCACAGGTAGCTCCCTCCCCCAGCCTCCTTTCCTACTATGAGTTTTGAAAAGACTACTAAGCAGACCAAGGACATGGGGACTGGGGACACAAAGCCTGCATTGTCCCATCGCTTCAGTCTCCACATCAGGGGTTTCAGTGCCACAATACCCCCCAAGCACACACACACCCAGAACACTGGCATATAAGTCTTTTTGAAAGTTCAGTAATCCTTCTGTCCACTGACATCCCACCCCTCCCTAGGCTCCAACAAAATAGAAACCGAGAGAAAAGAGGCAAGTGATAAGTTTGAGGAACGCATCATGAGAAGCAGTAAAGAGAGCGGGGCTGCAGAGAACAACACCAAAGCATGGAAACATGGTGGGCAGAAAAATGTCCCCTCTAAACTCAGACCTCTTTTACCCTCAAACCAATAAAAGTTACTGACCTTAAAACATCTATTGTTGTCAACAGTGGTGTCCAAAGTACACACATTTGTTGCTTGAATAGAAGTATAGATACTGCAGTTTAAAAACGCTCTGGTAAAAGTTGAAGTATCAACTTGACCTCTATACTCAAGTAAAAGTGAAAAAGTATGTGCTCTAAAAAACTATTTCAAGTATAAAAGTATAAAGTAACCTAAAAAAAAAAACCCTGATGCCACTATATGAAGTGAAAGCTCAATTTTTCGACTATTTAGAAAGATTTTTTTTTAGATAGGGCCAAGGATGAGGGAGGTCTTGTTGGTCTCCCGATACGCTCTCGCCTGCATCCGACCTTTCAGACATTTCAACATCTTTTTCTGAATCCAACATTGTAGCATGG